GTCTCATTGATCTTGTACAATTCTAGGCATTCCAGTATCCAGCTGTGGGGCATTGAGTCATAGGCCTTCTTGTAATCAATCCAGGCAGTGCACAGGTGGTCAGTCTGGTCTTGCAGTCTCGGCTGATTGTTCTGTCTACCAGTAGCTGGTGTTTTGCGCCTCTGGTATTCTTGCCAATTCCTTTCTGTGTCCCGCTCATGTATTGACCCATGTGCCTGTTCATCTTAGCCGATATGATGCCTGACAGGAGCTTCCATGTAGTACTGAGGCAGGTTATTGGTTGGTAGTTGGAGGGGACCGGTCCCTTCTTGGGTCCTTGGGATCAGGACCGTCCGGCCTTCAGTTAGCCATTCCGGGTGTATCTCGTTAACTAGCAGCTGGTTCATTTGTGCTGCCAGACGCTCGTGGAGTGCAGTTAGCTTCTTCAGCCAGTAGGCGTGAACCATGTCGGGCCCTGGTGCTGTCCAACTCTTCATACTGGAGACCCTTTCTTGGATATCTGCCACTGTGATGGTTACTGGACCCTGTTCAGGGAGGTCGCTGTGGTCTGCCCTCAGATCCTCTAGCCACTGAGCATTGCCGTTATGGGTTGCATCCTTCTCCCATATGCTCTTCCAGTATTGCTCCGTCTCCAGCCTTGGTGGTGCTGTTCTCTTATTGTTCCCTTGCCACTGAGAGTACACCTTTGCTGGTTCTGTGGAGAACAGCTGGTTATTCTCCTGCCTTCTATCTCTCTGGTGTACCTCCTCAAGCGGCTGGCCAAGGCTGTGAGTCTTTGCTTGGCAGTTTCCAAGGCCTCAGTATGGACAGCTTGCTGTATTTCTTAGGCACCTTATTCGTCGCACCTTTCTGCAACTCCGTTAGTTGGCTAACCTCTCTCCGTGCTACTTTGATCTTGCCCTCTAGCCTCCTTCTCCATGGAGGGTACTGCCCCTTGTGGCTGTTCAACTTGTAGCCAAGCATCTCACTGATCACTGCTGCCGTATTGTAGATCAGCTTGTTAGTGTCGGTAATCGTGGTTGTAGGTATTGCCCGTAGTGCTGCATTAACATCATCTAGCAGACCTTCTGAGGGTACTTCACGTAATCTTGGTAACCGGCTACGGGGGATCCAGGTTTCAAGCTTGGCCATGATCCTATTTTTCAGGTCAGTTCCTCTCGCACTCAACGATCCTTCTCCTATCACACTTGGGGCTATGTACCCAATCTCGGGTGGGGGTGAGGATATCTCCCCCCTGACCTGGCGTCCTGACTCCTCCTTGCCGTAGCATTTGTGTTGTACCTCGTCAATCTCTAGCTGTGAGAGCAGTCCCTTCTTTCGAATGTTGGAACACTGAGCTACTAGTTGTTTCGCCGTCAGTGTGGATGTTGGGTATCGAAGAATCCATAGGTCCCTCATCCTATTCATGTAGCCCCTTCCGCCGGGGTTACTTGCGTAGTAGCATTCCAACAACGCCCTGTTTTCGTCCCTTGCCCACCGATGCCTTCTTGTTCCAGTAGCCCACTTTTCGTCAGGGTGCCCTGGTTCCTCAACACCTGACGCGGACCTTGTTGATCCGGGCGACGTCCGAGCCGGCATGCCTTCATATTTATCTGTCTCGCTCATGTCTGCGGTAGGCTTGCTTAGCATAGGGTGTCTAGCCTTAGGACCCTTACTGGATACAGACGCCCCAGGCAGGAATCGGACTTGCGATCCTCTGTTCCAAAGGCGTGTAGTCTAACCACTACGCTATCCAGCTGCATATATGCTGTATATATATATATATATATATATATATATATATATACATACTTCTGCTTGTCTTCCGCTAAAATGTCCGGTTGGTTAGCTACCACCAGTTTGTCTGTCTGTATCTGGAGAAATCTCTAAATGTCTGTCTATTATTTTTAAATGTCACTAGTACTGAGATGAGACCTGAGTAATTGCATCTCTTTCTATCACATTTTCTTCATGATGAATAACAATAAAGGATCCTTAATCCCAATAGACATCATATTTGTATACGTGTGTTCACAAGTAGTATTTGTACCTAAGTAGATTTTTTTTATAACAATCAGCTTATATCGGGTAATATGTGGAGCCAAGTCTCTTCAAGTGCTTTTTGAAAAATGTCTTGAAACTTCTCATCTATATGACAACTCCTCATTTTGAAGCATTATCTAAATCAACCTAAATTTCAGTGAACACTGGGGAATATGAACTTGATCTCTCTCATTAAAACAAAAATCAAAAAAATGTTTGCTGACATTGTCCTCAAATATTTTTCTCTTGGTAATTATATTTCTACCACCAGCTTTGCCACTGTGGAATTCCTGTTAGAAGTGTGTTAGATTTCAATTCAGAATTCTTTGAATGCACAGCATGATATGTCCAGTCATGAAAAGATGGTTTAATCTGGCTTCCTGTTCTGTAGATGTACAACATAATTCCCTGGCTGATGAAGTGGCTACCTGGACCTCATAAGACAATGTTCACTCTGACACAAGAGGTAAAGGACTTTATAGAAATCAGGATCAAAGACCACAGAGAAATCCTTGACCCAGCGTCACCGAGAGACTATATTGATGCCTTTCTTATAGAAATGGCAAAGGTGAGTGTTGTGCTCGATCTCTATTATGTTTGTTCGTTTTGGTCTTGTAATGAAGTTTGATAACAGATTTTAATTTCTGTTGTTTGGACCGTTGATAGAACGAGGAGAACGATTCAAGTTTTTCTCTCAGTACCTTACACGCTTGCACCATGGACCTGTTTTTTGCTGGAACTGAAACTACTACCACTACTTTACGCTGGGGGTTGCTTTACATGATCTACTACCCTGATATACAAGGTGCGTGTGTAATACCCAACAGTACTATGTATTTTGTCATGTCGGTCTTGTACTGTGAGAAAAAGCATGCAGGTTGTGTTAGTCATCTACATAATACACAAAACAGAGTTTATGATAGTCTCATCATTTTTTTTTTTAGCATGTTTTGATTTCTAGTTGGGAATCAGTTAGTTTCCAGAGTAGATCCTGGCATTATTTATCAGAAAACAGGAAGACCACATATGTGGTCATGAAGCTGACAATAAAAAATCAATATGTGAAGATAGCCGATTGACATTCATATAGACTTTCCACCTTTCAATAAACATATGTTTAAATGTTTCGTAGCTTTTGTGTTGACAAATATTAACAAATTCACAAATACTAAAACTGAAAATATAGTTCCTGTTTATGTTTCTAATTATGTTTGATCTGAAGTTAATAATTCAGTATTGGTAGTAACTGTTTTTTCTTAAGTACGTTTTTATTTTTACATTAATAACCTGAAATTGTTTCTCACTGTCAATTTTAATTTTTCATTTACTTTTAGATAAATATAATAACCTTGATACAGACTCTGATTGTATCCTGTTTTGACTGTGCAGAGAGAGTTCAAGCTGAGATTGATGCTGTGGTTGGTTCGTCCAGACAGCCCTCTGTGAGTGACCGAGAAAACATGCCCTATACTGATGCTGTCATTCATGAGATTCAGAGAATGGCCAACATCATTCCTCTCAATGTGCTTCATATGACAGTCAAGGAAACTACAGTGGATAAATACACAATCCCAAAGGTACACAAACCATAATACTTTCTGGCAGTTTCGCTGTAGAATAAAGTATTCCTTTTCTACCAATTTAGCAACTTGAAGCTGACTTGAAAAGTCAATCCTAATGTTACACTTAAAATAACCAATGAAGCAGCTTTAAAAAGCACATTTAAAGCCTGGTATAAAAATAGTGTAACACTCACTATCAACTGTACTCTTTTGATGTATGATCAATCCTCCAGGTAAGTAAATCCCAAAAGGTTGATACCACATGGACCCGGAAAGTAAAGTGTATTTGTGATGTAAGATGGTGAAAATATTCTTCTTCCTCAAAATTATCCAGATATTATGCAGTCCTTAAAATGACTTATGTAATGCTTAAATAATTCACAGTACCATGCCTGTTTAGACTTCTCAACAATATATGGTAACTTCTGACTCCTAAAAAGTAACATGGCAGCAACCAAAATGCTAACCCATCAAAATGCAGAGTTTTGTAACTACACAGTGGCTGAGTCCATTTTTAGTCTGTGGTTATGTGCAGAATAAATACATGAGGTCCAAGAATAGATCTCTGTGGCACACCTGTGCTAATGGATTACATTAGTATTACATCAGGGCTCTGTATTACAGTGATTCATGACTACACATAAGGATACTCTTATGGCCCTGCATAGACTGCCTTTTGTCCTGCGACAGATAGAGTAGATGTCAAATCATACGGCCACTATTTCATCAAAACAGCAATGACTTAGCATGGTTTCTCTCTAGTTTCTCTGAAATACTGTATGTAATGACAATGCAACTTCAAATCAAATAAAAAGGTCAGCTTCATTACTGTTCTCATATTAACTCAAACCAATAACTGAAAGTGAGAAATTAATGTGAATAGACACCAGAATATACACTTGTAAAAATTAGAAATTTTGAGAAAACAGATAAATTTTTTAACACCTACGATTAAAGGTTAAAAACATCTAAAACAACCATTGCACTTGTCCCTGGTTCTTAATTAACAGGCATTATACACTTTGTAGTTTGACACAATTGCATACTAAAAAGCTCTTTTGGACATTTTGACAATGTTACGTTGCCTTTTTCCATCAGCTCACTTTCTGTTATATGGCAAATTAAACCAATATACTTGAATAACAATTTTAATTTTTTTTTTATTTCTTTCAATTTTAGTATTTTGGTTATTTTTATAGTATTTTTTGTGCAGGGTACCATGATCGTGGCTACTCTGGACTCAGTCTTACATGATGAGTCAGTGTGGGAAACTCCGCACTCTTTCAACCCTCAACACTTTCTGGACAAGGATGGTAAATTTCGCAAGAGAGATGCTTTCCTTCCATTTTCTGCAGGTTTGTTGTACATTAAAGCCTCTTGTACTGTTTTAGCCAAGACAAAATGGCATACATCCTTGGTTTGTTGCAGAAGTGTAGTAAACTCTATGATATAGTGAATATCTTGTAAATTGTTTGAATAAAACCCATTTCCTATTGTTTATTCTCAGGCAAGCGTGTGTGTCTTGGAGAACAGCTGGCCAGGATGGAGTTGTTTTTGTTTTTCACCTCCCTCCTTCAGAGGTTTTCTCTTTCGCCACCTGCTGGAGAGCAGCCCAGTCTGGAGTTCCAGTTGGGAGCCGCACGCTGTCCCAAACCTTACCGCCTCTGTGCTGTACCGCGTTAAACCATCAACTATGACAAAACTGAAATTGTCTGATACTCAGTTTGATGAATCAATGTCCTCCATCATATTTGTCATATGAAGCATTATCTATACCTGCTAAATTCTTCTCACCATGGAGACCTTTTAAAGGAGCCATTCCATCCATTGTATTCAACAAATAAAAATTTGAAAGGTTTACAATATTAAATTACAACTTTTTAAGAGATCACATTCCACTGCATATGCATGATAATCGCTGTCATAAGCAAACATTTACAAGGACTTCAGTAAAATTTTGACAATAAGATAAATACAGCTGGACAAAAAAAACAGTATTCTGTTTTTAACGTTTAATAGTACTGCAGAGATATTTACATAGGATTCAAACTTTAATTTATTAAGTTTAATCTACACTTGAGTCAGTGTCTACATTGAAAACAAAATCCCACCATATCTTGGTGGATTTGCTTGTATGTCGAGGATCAATAACCTATTTTAGTTCAATTATCCAAAAGATGATTTCACATAATCTTTAAGTACTCTATGAAACAATGCTTATTTGATTCAGTGTTTTGAAGTTGCTCAGTGCTTGAGGCAGGAATGCAATTCTATAATTTTGCACCACTGTGCTTGATGATTACTCTTAGATTCTGTCTTTGTGTTGCACAAAACCACTCGCTGTGTTTAGTCAGTTTTGTTGGCACTGACGGACCCTCATGAAACAGTGACCTCCTGGTTAATGAAGCTAACACTCGTCAATGATGTGTTTAAAGTATTTTAAGATTCTGGAAATATATCAGAATAGTAAAAAAAAATTCTGTTTGCTTTGATGGTATTTTGAAGGTGTTCTGCTAAACGTGGTAATCCTTATCTTGACTTTCCCAATTTCTTTAAAAGAACATAAGAAATCAGTTGTTATTCTACAGTAGACTCTCTATGATATAACCTAATGGGCGGGTTGATTACCAACAATCTTATGTCACTCTTAAACAAGAAGGCCCTTTTAAATTCACAAACTATTTTGAAAAGTATATAGGTTTATGTTTATTTGGATATCAGAGGAATGCAGGCAAACCAGGTGGTGACAGGGTGATCTTAATAACCATAATAATTTATTTCAGTTGGTGTGAGTGTTTTTATTTTTCATACCACTGCTTGTTATAAAATGCACAATGTCATAAATAAATAGATTTTCTGCATGCACTTGCCTTTTTCATTATGAGCTTGTGTCAGTGGTGTCAGCTTTAGTCTTTACCTTGGCAGAGGGCAGTAATACAATGAATGACTGGACTGACAGCTATCACTAACAGCTTGTAATCTCCCTACCCCAACTGTTAAATAATGTAGAGGAACTCCCCCAGAAAATGTCTTTCTTTACAAATCAGCTGAGTTGTTTAATTTGATTAATGCTTTTTCGCATCCTTCACTGCTGATTGAAACAAAAATCAGTGACAAATAAATTACAATAAGTACAGGAAACACGTGACACGCCAAACAAACAGAGAATGTATCATTTTCAGATGTATGATCAATTAATATAACATATAGGAAAATCATAAAAACTGTTAGATAACGCTTGTTAAAGCTATACATGTTAATAATTTCTGTATGTGTGATGATGTGACATGCAACGTTTCCTTTACACTGGGCCATCAGTTAACAAGGAAACATTGTACACACACACACACATAAACACGCTACGATCATCGTAGTAAGATACTTGTTATTGATTTCATGTTTTTATTAAATGCTTTTATTTTGAAGGCCAGCTATCGAACCCACTTGGTTATATAATCACCCACCATTTTATCTAGTGGTGAAATCAAGTTAAAACAGTAAAGTGACACGAATGAGCGGAACTATGGAGACATTATACAGCGCTCTCGGCTTGGAGTGGGTTGACGGCAGGAGCATTTTATTTTTTTCCTGTCTTTTTCTTCTGCTGGCTCATGTTCTGAAGAACCGAGTGCCGAAAAACTTTCCTCCCGGACCGTGGGCTCTCCCTTTTATTGGTGATCTTCATCGCCTGCAACCTAACAGATTCCATCTGCAGTTCGAAGAGGTGTGATACAAAGTAACGATTATTATTATCATTGTTGCTGTTAAGAAGAAGAATATATTCATATAGAAAATGGGGCGACTCGTTTACTGCAAATAGGTAGCTAAATGGTGCTATAGGTTCCCTTTATTCCTCCGTTATTGGTAATCATTTAGACTTAGATTGGGCTACATGGGGCAGAGCAGTTTTTTTATTAGACTTTAAAACATTCGGTAACATAACCAGTGTTGCCAATTTAGCAACTTTGTCGCTATATTTAGAGAGTTTTCAGACCCCTTAGCGACTTTTTTTTTTTTCTAAAAAGCGACTAGCGACAAATCTGGCGACTTTTTCTGGAATTATTGGAGACTTATTTATGACGACTTTTTGACGTGAAAGGGCGTGTTGCTCTTACTCTCAACAAGCAGCGGTGCTGCCGTGGGCACCCCACGGGCGGAGGATAGTCCTCCCCCAGCTGCAGGAGATGTTCACACCTGTGCGTCCAAACTGCAAATGAATCGCGCATGAGCGAAGCCGCTGCTCCCGCACTGTCTGTAACACAGTCAGTTCTTCTTTTACTGTTATGCTGTTTTGTGGATCACAAGGTTTAAAACTACTTATAAACACACACTCTCACACACAAAGTAACTCCACCAGAGTGCCTATTTCGGGTCACTTTTGCCGGTCGAAGCCCGAATAAAGGAGCAGGGTTGGAATTGTGACATTAAAAAACAATAATTGCTAAAAGAAATTAAGTTTGTAGTTCTAAATAAATTCTAAATGCATTTAGGACGTTTTTTGCTAACTTTATGTCTCTTCCACGATGTTATTTCTCTCTCCAACAGCGTAGGTTATCATTATATTAGCATGACCAATTATGCAAATTAGGTGATGACGTCATCTAGCGACTTCTAGCGACTTTTAGGACAGCCAATAGCGATTTTCCTTACTGAGGAGTTGGCAACACTGAACATAACTAACAGCCTAGAAGCTTAGTGTGAGCTGCATTTCAAGTCGCTGCTATTGTCCTTTCAGCTTCTACTTTTTGCTGCTGAGTGTCCCGTAAAGAGACATTAAATATTTGTAAGCAAGCATTTCTGTTTTATTTATTAGCTGCTTTCAGTTCTTGTTTTTTGTTTTTATTTGCTTGTTTTGTGGTTGTTGTATTTTTTGGGACATGGTATCACATGTCACACTTATCACAGCTGCTACAGTCTTAGTTTTCTTTTGGTAGAATAAAAATGTAAAAGTCAGCTGTATCAGAAAAGTTATTTCTTTTTAAATTATCCTAAAATATGCAAGTGTTGAATAACAAGCTAAATCTACTGTCGATTCAGTTTTCAGAGACATATGGAAACATTTTCAGCCTTCGAATCTTTGGTCATAGAGTTGTGATCATTAATGGCTACAAGTCTGTAAAGGAAGCCCTGGTCCAACGAGGAGAAGACTTTGCAGATCGTCCCATAATTCCTTTGGTTGACGATGTATTTGGAAATAAAGGTGATTTCATTTCTTTTAATTACACACTTAATATTGGAGTATCAGATGGGCACCAAGTTAGATTTATTAGCGTGACGATGGTGATCAACATGCCTAGTTTCTCTTCCAGTCAAAATATGTATATTTGTATATGTTTTTTCAAAGGTATTGTAGCTTCCAGTGGTTATCCATGGAAGCAGCGGAGGAGGTTTTCTCTTCAGACACTCAGAAACTTTGGTCTGGGCAAGACGACGTTGGCAGAATTCATCCAGCAGGAGTGCCAGTATCTCACAGAGGCTTTTGCAGACCAGCAAGGCATTTAAAAATCACACTGTTTGATAGTCTGAGGAACTTGGAAAGAAAAGCGTCTGGACTTCTTTAAGTTCCTTGAAGATGTTTCACCTCTAATCCGAGAAGCTTCTTCAGAATTGAAGAAGCTTCTCGGACTTCCAAGCTCCTTAGACTATGATGACCTGGATGACTGAGAACCTTCACAGACACACACTATTTGATGATAATTTTTACATTTTAAATGTTTGATAATTGCTTATGACCTTATCTAATTTTCTGCTAAACATATAAAATATGAAATTGCTAATTTTTCTTATATAATACACGCTTTTTTGGTAAATATCAAGCAAGTTTGTCTTCTCTTTGGACATGGAGTCCATTTTCTGTCTCACCCACACTTTATTTTTATTTACAGGAAAGCCTTTTAATGCACAGCCATTGCTAAACAACGCCGTGTCAAACATCATCTGCTGTTTGGTGTTTTCAAATCGATTTGAGTACAGTGATGAGAAGCATCAGTCTATTCTTCAGGACTTCAATGAGCTTTTGTACTTGGAGGTAACCATGTGGGCACAGGTGAGCCTCCTTTAAACCAGGATTCAGTAATCTAATTAAAAGGATTTATGCAAATGCATGTGTCATATTTATTTGAATCACATTATTATAAAAGGCTCTCCTTGAATTGTTCCCTTCCTGAATTGTTCTGTGTCCCAGTGATTTGTATATTTGTAATTCATACATAGAGACCACTGATTTAAAGCATCTAAATCTTACTTGAGTCCAGCTTTGATTAGGTTGTTTTTTTGTTTTTGTTTTTTTAATCAAGTTTGACTATTAGTATAATGTTCTTTTAGGAAATACTGTGTTAGCTTTATGCCATATGTTGTCTCATCTATATATTTTTCTAAAGGTCTTGAGGATCATCAAGATGTTGACAAATGTGAAACAAGCCTTTTGTGTTCTTTTTGGGCAGCAGTGGTTTTGAAAGTGAAATTCCCCCATGCAGTTATTTAGGTGTTCTTCTGGGTTCTTTTGTGACCTCCTGGGTGATCAGTGGTGCACTCTTTAAGTCATTTTGGTAGGCCGACCACTCCTATGAAGGTTCACTACTGTTCCAAGTTTTCTTCATTTGTGGATAAGGGCTCTGATCTTTTTTGTGGAGTCCCAGCGACTTAGAAATGTTTTTATAAGCCGTTCTCAGGTGCTTTAAGATCTTTTAGCCTCCTTTACTTTGTCAGACAGATTCTATTTAAGTGATTTAAAAGGTCTTTACAAAAAATGGGATTAATCATAGTCAATTCATGATTTTACAAGAGAGTTCTTTACTTTTTCGCATAGGGACATACAGTAATGTGGATCTCTCTTTGAAAGCTAATTAATTTAGTACATTTTTATTAAATAAATACAAATGTCATAGATATATCCACGCTGTCTGACAAGTTAGTGACTGTCCTCCTGCGCTGTAGATGTACAACGCAATGCCCTGGCTGATGAAGTGGGTGCCCGGACCTCATCAGAAGACATTTACTCTGGTCAAGAATATAAATAATTACATAGAAAACAGGATCAGTGAACACAAAGAAGACTTTAACCCATCATCTCCGAGAGACTACATCGACTCCTTTCTCATAGAAATGGAAAAGGTGAGTGTTGTCCTGCATCTCTGCTGTTTTTGTTCTTTTTACATTTTTAATGAAATGTCATCAGATTTTTTTTTTTTTCATCTTTGCCTCTAACAGAATGAAGGCAATGATTCAAGTTTTGATCTCAGTAGTTTGAATGCTTGCACCCTTGACCTCTTTGGTGCTGGAACTGAAACTACTACCACTACTTTATACTGGGGCCTTCTGTATATGATCCACTATCCTGTCATACAAGGTTTGTGACTGAGTAATAGTCACTATGACTACATATTCTGCAAGTATCTCAACTTTATAATGACAGCGGCCTCTTATAGGTCAGCCATTTATATAAAAATTGATTGTTTCTGATGTGACATTGTAATGTGTGTCTCTGTTTAATTTTGTCTCTGGATTGGGTTTTCTCTCAAGTCTATTTTATATATTTACTTAGATTTGAATTGTTTTCTCAACTTTAAAAATCTTGACGTAGACTCACATTATTAACTGTGTACAGAAAAAGTCCAGGCTGAGATCGATGCTGTGATTGGTTCATCCAGACAGCCCTCTATGAGTGACAGAGAAAACATGCCTTATACCAATGCGGTTATTCATGAGATCCAGAGAATGGGCAACATCCTCCCACTGAGTTTGTCACACATGACAAACAAGGATACAATATTGGATAAGTACACAATCCCAAAGGTACTCATGCTAAGAATTATTTTACCAAAGCCTTTTGCTTGTTTTTCTGGTTTCTGGTCATATAGCTACTGAATAACTCATTAAATTCAGCAATGTTTTTTTTTTCAGTCACTTTAAAGCATAGATAAACTCAGAAAGACAGTTTTTGCGCAATATTTATGATGGAAATATCTTAATTAATTGCAGTGGGCTAATGGTTAAACATAAAAAACAACCACTGCATTTTGGTGCATCTGTTGTTAAATAACAAGTGTTTTACAACTCATAATACGATACAACACATTTAGTAGCTCTTTTGGAATATCCAAATATTAATTGCTCAACATATGTAATGATAATTCGTTTCTCTATCAGCTGATTTTCCATCTAACCTGTTTAATTATTTTGTTCTTAAAAGTTGAGATAATTTTTAAACAAACACAAATTAACTTACCTGTTTCTTCAGGGCACCATGATCCTGCCTTTATTGCACTCTGTACTCAATGATGAGTCAATGTGGGAAACTCCACATTCCTTCAACCCTCAACACTTTTTGGACCAGGATGGTAACTTTAGGAAGAGAGAAGCCTTTATGCCTTTTTCTGCAGGTATGTCAAGAGGGCAGTTTATCTCAGTGAACGTATTCTGTTGATGAATATGTAGGCAAAACAACAAGAGAGGTGTTTGAGCAAGATATGGTAAAAGAAGTGTTGCATGTTTCTGCTTGCTGTTAACTGTTCGTGAGCACCGACTTATATCTACAAACAATTTCTTACATCACTGAGTTTGCAGGGGATCGGTGTCTCTTTTGTGTGTTTCAGAGCTGTAGTAATAACCTCTGTAAGCTGAAAGCATAGTGACTGAAACTCTTATTGTGTATTATCAGGCAAGCGTGTGTGTCTCGGGGAGCAGCTTGCCCGAATGGAATTATTCCTGTTCTTTACCTCCCTCCTTCAGAGGTTTTCATTCTCGGCACCTGCTGGAGAGCAGCCCAGTCTGGAGTTCACACTGGGAACCACCCGTTGTCCCAAACCTTACTGCCTTTGTGCCGCGGCACGTTAAATCATCAAGTATAAGCTAAACACGTCTATTTCTTACAGTGTACATTTGTCTTTCATTACATTTTATAATGTCAAGCAGTTTCTGTTTCATCATTATCTATTTCTATTATGTTATGAGCCAGAATGCTGTTTAATAAAACCTTTAGAAATTACATACATATATACTGAAATTACATATCTGCTGTATACAAACTGTATAAAATTCTGACATTATACTAAACACTTTTTAATGATTCATTGTTGAGTGATAATCTATGTGCCACTGTGAAGCAGTGGTTTTAAATGTGCTGAACAAATAAACATGACCTGACTTGAAAATGTGTGCGTGAGTAATATATATTCATCTTTCACTTAATCCAGTTTTGATTGACCTAATCCTTCTTATTCAGTCTGTTTTTTTTATTGAAGTTCACACTGCTATCAGTTTGAGATGTCCATGGCATTTCTCAGTGTTTGTATTGTCCAATACAGTTTTGTATTCCTCAGCCATTACCTGGCAACAACACAGTTACAACACTATAAAATGCCCATGTGAATCTGATGTAGTAGTTCTACTCTTCGAGGATCAAGTTGCAGCATGATAATAGAGAATATCTGACTTCATAGTATGACTCGATTCATGCAGCTCAGCGTCATTTAGGGTTCATCGTTTTTTTGTGGTCTCTAACCTTTTCCAGTATCGACTGTATGATGTGTGTCATATGACAGTTTCCATTATCTAAAGGTCTCTGCATGGCTGAAAGGTGCCTTGAAAGTGTGTCAGCAAATTCAAGCAGTTTTCAAAGACATACTTTGCCTGTGCATTGAAGTTTGCTATTCTCATTAACCAAAAGCCATTGCAACAGTATCCTTTCAAGTGTGGAAACAATGGCTTGTGGTCTATTTGGGTAATGAAATGTACAGGCTAAAGTTATTTTGGGAGCGCTCTATATGCCTAAACCACAGCCAAGCACTCCTTTTTGATCTGTGCATGTCTGATTTTGGTACCTTTTAAGGTGGCAGCCTCCCTCGTTGTCCATCGTGGTCCTATAGGAGAATCCCTTCCCAGCTTATTGCACAGAAGACTTAATTATTATCACAAAGGCTAGTACGGGTGCATCAGTTAAGAAAAAGGACCTTTTAAATCCTAGACCTTTGCCAGACATGCGTCACTGCCTGGTTGTGTGTTTTCTGCTAAGTCATTCAACTAGTGACCCAGATCATGTACCACACCCTGAACAGCTCTGTGGTTTGTGGTAGCTAAATGTTTCTCATGCCACTATCTTTTGTGGCATCAGACCTGACACAGAAAAAGATGCGCATGCACATTCACACCAGTATTGTACTTTCACATCACGAGCATCCACGTGTCTCCTTGGGTCTGGGCATTGTAAATTTTGTCGTCAGAGGGTTAACGCAAGCCGTCGCTGTGCTTTCATGGGTATTGTGACCACAAAGTTGTCCACAGAAAAACTGCACTACATAGGTTAACAGAAGTCACCCAGGAATTCATGGTGTAAAAATCTGGAAGAATGGAAAGTCTTGTGAATTTGTGTGCTGATGACTTGCTTGTCTGAACCAACAGTGTTTGTCCCCTATCTCCTGGAATGTATCAAATCATTTAGCGTGCTGTCGGGAAATTCAGCTGTAGTAAAAGTGAATTTATGCCACTCATAGATGCTTTGGGGGTACATTTCTGATTTTTCTGCTGTTCACATTCCTTGTTCTTAAAATTCCCTGTAAACCCAAACTCTTGAGGACTCTCTTATCTTATCCATTTTTCCACCAGTGTCATTTATTTAAAAAACAAAACAAAAAAACAACTGGTTTAATAGTTTGCATTTTCATCAGTCATATTTTTATCACTACCTTCAAATCAGACATTTTGGATGGAGCTCTGTTCCCAAATTCATGCTTTTTTTAAATAAGTCATGTTTTTTATGACCTCTTCTCAATGCCACAAACTCCCAAACATTTAGCTTCCAGTTTTCGTTATGGCAGTTAGCACAACCATGTTAGTGAAGCCTTCACCAATTAACTGAAGTGTGATTTCAGATGAACTTTCAAAAGAGAGCCTGTCCAGTATTCAAAGGTTTTTGTCAATTCCAGGTTGATTGAATTTAAAGTCTTGCATAAGCTCCACTACGCCAAGACTTAACAAAACATTTGGCACTGTCTCCCCCATGTGTGACAAATGTGGTATTGCAAAAGTGTCAGTGTCACACATGTTGTGGTCCTGTCCAGATATATTTGGCTTACCCAAACAGTATGGTGTGTTCATTAACCTGGAGTGTAATCTGGAGATATTTGGCTCCTATGATGGGACAAGAGCACTCCCATTTAATCAAAGACAACTTCTGAGGGAAGGCATCATTGCTGCTAAAAATATTCATTTTGCTGACTCCATTATTTATCTCCTTGGTTGGGTTTTTGTATTAAAAAAAAAAAAGGATAATGAGCATAGACATCCGGTCACTGTATGACAAACCACAGTTCTGCTAATTTGAGTAGCAGAACTAGACGTTTCATTGCTGTTTATGGTGCCTTTTGGAAAGAGATTTTTGACATCTCTTTGTTTTTTTTGCTGCACATTTTGGCAGAACAACCCCAGGACACAACTTTGGGGTGTTTTCACCTCCCTCCTTCAGAGGTTTTCATTCTTGGCACCTGCTGGAGAGCAGCCCAGTCTGGGAACCACTTGTTGTCCCAAACCTTACATCCTCTGTGCCGTGGCACGTTAAACCATCAAGTATAAGCTAAACACATCTATTTCTTACAGTGTACATTTGTCTTTTATTACATTTTTCATGTCAAGCAGTTTCTGTTTCACCATTGTCTATTTGTATTATGTTGTGAGCCAGCATGCTGTTTGATTAAACCTTTAGACATTACATACACTATTATACTGTATACAAATATAAGATTCTGACATTAAACTACACACTTTTTAATGATTCATTGTTGAGCCCTGACTGTGAAGCAGTTTGAAAGACCTTCTGTGGTTTTAAATGTGCTGAACAAATAAACGTAGCCTGATATGAAAATGTGTGTGTGAGTAACATATATTCATCTTTCACTGAATCCAGTTTGGATTGATCTAATTCTTCTTAGCCTGATTTCTTTTAAGTTCACACTGCTATCAGTCGGAGGTGCCTGCCCTGGGCATTTCTCAATGTTTGTATTGTGCAATACGGTTTTGTGTTCCTCAGCCATTACCTGGCAACAACACAGTTACAGCACAATACAATGCCCATGTATGGTGTGTTCATTAACTTGGAGTGTAATCTGGCCATATGTGGCTATTATAATGGTGCAAGAGCACTCACATTTAATCAAAGACAACCTCCAAGGGAAGGCATCATCACTGCAAGAAATATTCATTTTACTGACTTCATTATTTATCTCCTTGATTGGGTTTTTGTATTTAAAAAAAAAAAAAAGATATGGGCATAGACATCCGGTCACTGTATGACAAACCACAGTTCTGCTAATTTGAGTCACAGAACTAAATGTTTCACTCAACTTAGGGGAGAAAAACAAACCAAAACCTTGTTTCTAACAACTAGGAGTGTAATCAAGGCTTTATCTAGACTTTGGGCTGGGTTATGTACTCTCGGGCATTGGGTTATATAATATTCTGTCCCTGTAGCTGAACACTGAGTTACTTTTGCATAACAGAGTAAAGCTATGGAGAGAATATACAGCGTGCTCGGCCTGGAGTGGATTGACGGCGGGAGCATTTTACTATTTGTGTGTGTTTTCCTGCTTCTGACTGATTTTTTGAAGAACAGAGTGCCAAAAAACTTTCCTCCTGGACCGTGGGCTCTTGCTTTCATTGGTGATCTTTGGCGTATCCAACCTGCCAGGCTTCACTTGCAGTTCGCAGAGGTATAGAAATAGCTTTATTGCTGTGTAGTCGAAAATAAAGGGTCAGAAGCGTAAACAACACTCAGCTATATCACACTGCACTTTTTGCGTATTGATTTAAGTAAATCAGTAAATGTGAGGTTTTGTTTTTTTAAAAAAGTCCTAAACATGTCAGGTAAATAGTAAATTATTAACTTAAATGCAAGATAGCCAAACTGAACTCTATTCCAGATTCCCCTTTGTTCTCTTTACTGGGGGTCGGGGTGGGGGGCACAATATTGATACATGCTATTAATTTTATATTGTTGATTAAGTAATTTGTCCTCCAGATTTTAAAAAAGGGTAACTGAAAAATCCAACCAGCATTAGAAATTATACTTTTAAATAGATTTCAGCAGCTGATAAGAAACAGTTAAACTTGGGGGTTAAAACTGAAATGGGCAATCACATGACAGTGACTTCTTAAAAAATATGTCCACTCAGTGGTCAACCACAATGTCAATGCCTGTGTTCAGTTTGCAGAGAAGTATGGAAATGTTTTCAGCCTGCGACTATTTGGTGGAAGAATTGTGGTCGTGAATGGCTACAAGTCTGTGAAAGAGGCCTTGGTACAAAAAGGAGAAGACTTAATTGATCGTCCTGTCATACCCATATTTGAACTAGCAGAAAACAGAGGTGGAGTTGGTTGTATTTTCATATTTGAAGTTGAGCAAGATCAGGCTCAATTTACACCATTTTGGAGTTAATGTTTCTGTATGTTCCTAAAAGGTCTTGTGATGTCAAATGGTTATCCATGGAAGCAACAGAGGAAATTTGCTCTTCACACTCTCAGAAACTTTGGTCTGGGCAAGAAGACCCTGGACTTATCCATCCAGCAGGAGTGCCAGTACCTCATAGAGGCTTTTGCAGATAATCAAGGCACAAAAAAAATTAACTCACACTACCTTCAACTTTGAAGACAAACGCATGCACCAACAGCTACATACATTGTGTACTTAGGTATCATGACACCTGTTGCATGCGATTCATATAACATGCGTTGTCCAGTGACTCATCATATTTGATGTTTTGTTTGTGATGTTTTGGGTCCCAATTTTCTTTATTATTTTGACATGATGCAAGGGTTCCTCAGTCTTTTTTATGTATTTTACAGGAAAGCCCTTTAATACCCAGTCACTGATAAACAACGCTGTGTCCAACATCATCTGCTGTTTGGTGTTTGGGAATCGATTCGACTACACTGACAAGGAGTTTCAGTCTATTCTCCAGAAATTCAACAAGATTATGCATTTACAGGGAAGTTTGTCAGTACAGGTGAGAATACATCCAATAATTTTATTCATTATTTTATTCTGTAACTAAAATGTGTTTAATTTGAAACATTGCCGAAGAAATTTTATTGAAAACGAATACAGTAATGTCAGTCTACTAAAACTAAAAGGTGCGTATTCAAACTATGAGTCATGTAAATGTACACAAATATTATTGTGTGAAATCTATTTTATGAATCAAAGGTAAAAGTACTGATCTGGCACTAAAATTGTCCGTGTTGCTGATATTGTTAAAATTAACCAGTCGTATTTTTGCTGCAATTGTAGGATCCATAGTGTAAAAGTTTACACAGTCACCAAACAAGCAAAAGATTATTTTATGTTTGAAACATAAATCCCATTGAAGTTGCATAAATAAGGACATCCGACTTAAAAATCAGCTAAATCAGTCAACAAGCAGCCAACAGTAGCTTTATTTCCAATCCAAAAATTTCTGTATGACATGAAACTGTTGTTTCTAGTTAAGGGGAAGTTCTAACTACTTTATGTTTAGTTAGATTAGGCAATTGAATTCAGCTCTATTTACAACACTATATCAACAGTCGTCTCCAGGTGCTTTATGTTGTGAGGTAAAGACCCCTACAATAATACAGAGAAAACACCTAAAGGCAGATGATCCTCTATGAGCAAGCACTTGGTAACAGTGGGAAGGAAAAACTCCCTCTTTACAGAAACAAATCTCAGAAAGAACCAGGCCCAGGGAGGGGCCACCACCAGATTACATTGCCTTACTCTAAACCTACTCACCCACCCCTGTTGCTTGTCACGTGTTTTCATGGTCTTACGATGTGAAGATTCATGTGCTTCTGTGATGAGGAGTTTTTGTTTTCTGTTCTCATACTGATCCCCTATCAGGAGCTCAGTCTGAGTACAGTCCTCTTTTTTCTCCTCCATTGCCCTTTTGTCTCGTACATTTCATTGTTTTTCTTTACGCTACCTGTTCTGACCTGTCTCCCCAATGTGATTTTTGTTTAATGTATGTATGGTTGAAAATCTCCCGTGACCGGTTGGGGGTGACTGGAGGGAGGACAAAATATACATTAAACGACTAGTGTGGGGAATCTGAAAGGAGGTCAAGAAATTTATATCTTCACTTCTTAAGAGAAAAGAAAAACAACCTCAGTTCTTGTTTACATCTCCTTGTGTTTTGGGATCTAATATTTCATGACATTTGAAGGGGTTTCCAAATATCTGTAGTTCTTGAGTTATCTGGTGTAAAAGCCAGTAGTCAACAGGTGTACCTGAAACTGTCTTCGAACTCTGTAGATGTACAACACAATGCCCTGGCTGATGAAGTGGATTCCTGGATCTCACAAGGAAATATTATTTCTGGTACAACAGTTAATTGAGTTTGTAAAGGTAAAGGTCAATGAACACAAAGAAAATATTGACCCTTCATCACCAAGAGATTACATTGATGCTTTTCTCATAGAAATGGGAGAGGTGAGTAAAGTGCTCCTTGTCTGTTGTCTACATTTCTAATAAAATGTGTGATTTGTTGGCATGTAACACATTTTTGATCCTCTCTCACACTTATAGAAGGAGAACAAAGAATCTGGTTTTGATTTACAAAATCTGTGTTTTTGCGCTCTGGATCTTTTTGGTGCTGGAACTGAAACTACAACCACTACTTTACACTGGGGACTGCTTTACATGATCTACTACCCTGACATACAAGGTGTGTTTATGAATCACATCCACCTTTACTACATATTTTCTAATCAATTTGCCATCTCTTTATATTCTCAGGGGGTCCCTAAGAGATCATATGTATTGTGAGAGGATGCGTGTAAGATGTGTAAACTTTCCCTGTAAGTCATCTATGCTGCACACAGACTCACATTGTTTCCTGTTTTCACTGTGCAGAGAGAGTCCAGGCTGAGATAGATGCTGTGGTTGGTTCATCCAGACAGCCCTCTATGAGTGACAGAGAAAAAATGCCCTATACTGATGCTGTCGTTCATGAGATTCAGAGAATGGCCAACATCATCCCCCTCAATTTGGCTCACATGACAAGCAAAGACACCACACTGGATAACTATGCAATCCCAAAGGTATACAGTTCATGTTATTTCCCAAGTGAGGTTTTTGTCATTTTTTGAAATGACCTATCCTTTTATCAGATAATTAAGAATGTTTTTAGACAGATTAAATGTAATAATAATAATCAAAACCAAAAACATGCTGGGAATTTGGGTATTTCACTTAAAGTACTAAAAATCCTCCTTTATACGCCAACTCTAGAGGCGTATAAATATATAAATACATTATCTCAGGAACTTCTTTAAGTTTCTTGAAGATTTTTCACCTCTCATCTGAGAAGCTTCTGGTGGAGAGTCCCGGATTTAAGCCATATTAGGAATGTCCCTTAAGAGGGTCACTGGCCCACTATTGATCATCTGCCTAATCACATGAGCCAAAGGTCTGAAGTACACTAGGATGAGGTGTTTGGAGAAGTCTCTCCTGAGTTTCTCTGATAAAGGGATGATAGGAGATGACAGTGCTGACAATGCTATTCTGTTTTCCTTCTGTTTCTCCCTAGTTGATGTCTGACCTTTTTTACAGTATCTTTGCTGATTCGATAACCACATGCTTTAAGAGCGTTCGTTACATCTGTGTGCTCCTTCTCTCTCTCTTGTGGCTTGGAGGGAACATTTTCTGCCCCGTGTTGCAGGATCCTTCAAGAAACTTAGAGAAGTCCAGTCGCTTTTCCTTCCAAGTGCACTAGATTACCATAACCTGGATATTGTCAAAAGTAATTACTTACTCATCCAAATCACTAAATCAAGGTCTTCCTGGCACTTTAATGGCCACAGGTGTATAAAATCAAGCACCTTAGCATGCAGACTGCTACTACAAACATTTGTGAAAGACTGGGAGCTCTCAGGACCTCAGTGAATTCCAGCGTGGTACCGTGATAGGATGTCACCTGTGTAACAGGTCCAGTCATGAAATTTCCTCATTACTAAATATTCCACAGTCAACTGTTAGTGGTGTTATAACAAAGTGGAACCAATTGGGAGCGACGGCAACACAGCCATGATCACATAGTGGGGGCCAGCAGATGCTGAGGCGCACAGAGCACAGAGGTCATCAAATTTCTGCAGAGTCAAACAATCAATCACTACAGACCTCCAAACTTCACGTGGTTTTCAGATTAGACCAAGAGCAGTGCACAGAGAACTTGATGGAATAGAGCTGCAGCTGCAATCTTGACATCACCAAGAGCAAAGGAAACCCAACAGATGCACGCTGCGAAAAGCACGCTGCCACTGGACTCCAAAGCAATGGATACGTGTTCTCTGGGTTTGTCAGGTGCCAGCATTGTGCCAAGTGTAAAGTTTGGTGGAGGGGGGATTATGGTGTGGAGCTGTTTTTCAGGAGTTGAGCTCTCCCCCTTAGTTCCATTCAAAGGAACTCTTAATGCTTTAGCATACAAAGAAATTTTAGACAATTTCATGCTTCCAACATTGTGAGAACAGTTTGAGGTTGGATCCTTCCTGTTCCAACATGACTGTGCACCAGTGCACAAAGCAAAGCCCATAAAGACACAGATGAGCAAGTTTGATGTGGAAGAACTTGATTGGCCTGCACACAGTCTGACCTATAGATAGAAAGCCTTTGGGATGAATTAGAGCAGAGATGGCAGGCCAGGCCTTCTCATCCAACATCAGTGTCTGACCTCACAAATGTGCTTGTAGAAGAATGGTCAATAATTCCCATGAACACACCTTTAAACCTTCTGGAAAGTCTTCTGAGAAGTGTCCAAGCTGTTATAGCTGCAAAGGTTGGGCCAACATCATATTAAACTTTATGGATTAAAGATGAGATGTCACTCTACTGTAGCACAGGACGGCAAGTTCCAACATTCGAGGAGGGCTCAGAGTAGATTGCTACTCCTACCTGTCAAAAGAAGCCAGTTTAGGTGGTTCGGGCATCTGTAGGATCTGTAGTACTGAGTGATGTGTCTTAGGCATGCCCTGTCAGGAGAAGGCCTCGGGGTAGACCCAGGACAGACTGTAGAGATTATGGATGGATGGATAATTGTGTAATGTAACACAATAATCCATTTAATAGCCCTGCTCTTTAGTTATAGGAATTAGCTTCTTCCATGAGCTGATTTTCCACCAACTAGCAAATTAACACAATTAACAATTGCACATTTTATTATTTTTGACATTTTTAAGTTTCTAAATTCTTGAGAATTCTTGATTCTGTCCAAAACTTTGTTTCAAAATTTGCATTGGAAACAAACTAGTAAAATCATTTACTTCAATTGTATTTTTTCAGGGTACCATAATCATAACTTTACTGCACTCGGTCCTGTGTGATGAATCGATGTGGGAAACTCCACACACCTTCAACCCTCAACATTTTCTGGACCAGGATGGTAAATTCAGGAAGAGAGAAGCCTTTATGCCTTTCGCTGCAGGTTAGTCAGTAGTTACTCCACATATCCTGTAACACAGTTGCATGTTTTTTATGGGTATGTGTTTACAGGGGCACTATAAAATGTTATAGCTTCGTGGAACACCAGAAAGGGTTCAGATAGGAAGCAAAACACCAGTTTTCCCACAAAGACTCTGATCTGTTGAAGACCTTCCCTGATTGAAGTGCATATGCATATGCAAATTTCATAGCATTAAACTTTAACCTGCCGGGTTCCTAGTACAAAAAGTGTGCATTTTTTTTTTTTTGTGCTGGCACCCTTCTTTTAAATAAAGAAGAGTATTTCCAGTAATGTGTCCCGTTGTGTGCTACACATGAGATATGGAAAGTTTAGCCAGTGTCCTGAAATGCTTTTCCCAACATTTTACAGACTTCATGTGTGAAGAACTACAAAAATATCTGTGAATTAAGGTGAATGTCCTTGTGAATGAAATCACTCAACTTCTGGTGTATTCGTAGGTAAGCGTGTGTGTCTTGGGGAACAGCTGGCCAGGATGGAGTTATTCCTGTTCTTTACCTCCCTCCTCCAGAGATTTTCATTCACTGCACCTGCTGGAGAGCAGCCCAGTCTGGAGTTCAAGTTGGGAGTAGCTCGGGCCCCCAAACCTTATTGCCTCTGTGCTGTACCACGATAAAGCAATAAATGGCACATAAAATGCCATGTTTCTTTGCATGTATCTTTATCTATCTCAAATTTGAGGGTATAGTTTATTCAGGAAGGAGGGCTTTCTGCAATCTAAAATATTCAAGTGTGCAAAAGTAAATAAAACAAACTCCTTAAAAGAAATCACTGGTATGCAATTTCCTGCAGTCGCTTCCTCTGCACATTGTCTTTGTAGTTAAAACGCGACGTCCTTGAATAAACTGTATGTTTCTCATTCAGACCGCTATTTGTTAAATTTCACACTGTGGTTTTATTCTGAGGTTTGGAAGTTGAAAAAAAAAACACAACGTGCCGCTCTTTACTGTCGCTCTCTTAAAATCACTGTAGTTTAAAGATTGATTATTTTAAAAAAAAAGTTCTGTGGAGCATAAAGTTTATGTGAAAGAAAATGAAATGTCAATAAAAGGTTGAATCATTTAAAAATTTGTGTATTTTTTATTTATAGTATTTGTGTTAAGAATACCAAATTTTGTCATGTCACTTGTGAAAAGTAACACTTTCAGAGAGTTTCTGAATTTGAACCATGAACATGAAGGAGTATTAATTCTGAAAACTGCCTTAAACCTCAAGCCACCTTTATCTCACGAACATGCACCCCGTCAAACTTCTGGGTTTTCCCTGTAAACCGTTTGAAGTTACAGATGGAAAATATCTTGTGAAAGAAAATCACAAAAGCCAAGATAGCTAGAGACTTTTAAACAGTTGAGGCTGAAGTACTTTGCGGGACTACAAACGCTAGCAAACGGGCTCAGTGAGAAAAGATGTTCGAGTGCAAATCGATTTCTCTAAAGAGTTCTCTGTAAGTTTCTTTTAAAATTTTTCTAAAACACATTTAAGATCCAGGATGTGTTTAATTTCCATGTCACTGAGCAGTTTTCTGTTATGTCATTTAAAAAAAAAAAATCTTTATAACCTTTATTATGTAAGTCTGTCCTTCAGCACATTTTGACTTATTGTGTCAAATAACCAAGTTGTCAGCGTGCTTTTCAAAGTAAAATGATTGATGTCACCGTGTCGCTTGCTCGGTTGACCACTGGATTATGTGACAGCAGCAGCATGTTTAATGAGAGCAGATGCTGAGAACACTGATGTTTCAAGTCAACAGAATCGTTGTGGTGATGAAAAACAGGCAACAGAAGTAGGGCAACAAACTACTCAAAAAAAATGATCAAAGTTTCTGCATTTGCCAGAATACCACAAAACTAGGTCACTGGCCTCTTTAAGACATTTCACTCCCATGAAAGAGATCACTTTAGTCAGGTGCTCCTCACACAGCAAGTCGTCTGACGATCGATTCACAGCAAAAGCCTTTTTGGATGGTATCTTGATAAGAAAACCCAGACAGGATGGAGTTCTGGTGAGCGTTATCTCAATCTTTCGCCTATATGTCGAAAGTGATGGTATGTGCAGTCTTTGAGAGACAAAAACATACAGAGAAACACGTTACAGTCGCTGATCGCTAGGAGACTCTCCTTGTGGGATAATGCAGTTTTTTTTCTCTCCCTATTCCTGTCCTGTCTTTCAGGTTCTGCGTGCCGCAGGTGAGTAGCGATAAGGCTCGTTAGCCACCGGACCAAAACCAACGTGTCCCAACAGGCTGCTGGCAGCGAAAGAATTGAAAGTTAACATGCTTGACGTGAGGAAATACTTAATCTCAGTTCATCTCAGTTGTGTCAGCAGGATAGAACATTGACAGGAACGTGTTTTCTCTTATCTGCCACGGTGTTGTGACGCTTGTACTTGTTAATGTTATCAGCTTCAAGCTTGCACTGGAAAGAATGAGACATTCAGTTAAAAGCTCTTCCTCCGCCTCATGTTAGGCAGCTCACTCCAGTGCTCCCGCACGCAGATGACTGAGGTAGGCTTTGAAGATAATTTTGTGAAAGGAAATTTCTTTTAAGTGATTCCTAAGAAGTAAGAAATTTGTCATTTTTCATTTTGTTTCCTAAAAAAACAACCTGTTTTTCTTCTCTTCTCATTTCTTTGTTCTTACAGCTGCTGAAGGGGTTCTTCGGGATTCAGAAAAATGAGCTGAGATGACTGTCTCCTCAGTCATTTCGAGATGTATTATTGTACTTCTTACTTTTTCTATCAATTGTGAGTGTTACAGGTTCCAGCTATTTAAAAAAACACACCGCCATTACTCTGTTTCTGCTTACTGAGATCCCTTATCACACTTTGGTAGCTCTTGTGGTTTTGAATTGTAACCCTTGCTTCGGCTTTTACCACAACTTCAACCCAAGTGTTTCAGTAATTAAATTAGCAGATACATAGTCATGGAAAACACTTTTACTTTGTCTGTTCTTGGCATTCCTTCTTGCACAAAGAGGATTTTTTGGGATCTCCCACTCACACATTACAGCCAATGAATGTAATGATCCACTTGGTTTTTATAGTAAATGGGTTTTGCTATACATAAGGTATTTATTGGAATGGTCTAAAATTCACTTTCTCGACTAATGCTGTGGGGAAAACTTCATGCATTTGTCTTTTCCGGACAGACTTCCCTCTTCTGCCTGTTGGCTGCCAACGAGCGATGACTACCCGGTATACTGGGTACCTGGTTGTAGAGCCAGCTCCACTCTTTCTCATGGGCTCAAATCTGACGGTGTACTGCCACACCCATAAATGTGATTGGAGGTGAGAATCAGAACAATGCTACACAGTATTCTGCCATGTATGAAAATCTCCCTGCTGTGTTTGTAGCTATCAGCTTTATTGGCTCATATTTGATAACAGAAAATTAGTTTTTAGACTTCTTGTCCCTCTCCACCAGTTAGGAAATGATAATTAAAAGTTTTCTTTTTTACATGCAGAGCCAAGATATACATGGTGCTAAATGGCAAGCCTGTGGATAAATGGGAGAGAATCAACTGCACTACAGTGAAATTCTATCTGCCCAGCATATGGATCCCACTGTCTGCAGCGATCTGCAGTAATTATATGCATAGCGTTGTGAATGGAGTGGATCTACGAGCTGGCCGTATGTACAGTTTACAGCAGCTGCAAAAGAAAATTTGTGTGCAAGTGCAAAAAATAGAAAGAGAGAGTAAGACACAAATTTACAACACTGCCTATAAAAGTGGCATAATAGTAAGAAAATGCAGTGGGGTTGTAGGTAAACTTGGTTTGCAGCAGGCTAAATAAATCACAATTGTTGTTTTTTTGTTTTTCACTGCTGTCTGTTACGGCTGATGTTGAGCAGAACTTGGAGGCTGGGTTATTGGAACATAGTTTCTTTTTTATTTATTAATTTTTCTTGTAGAAGCTAACCAAACAGTACAAAATAAAAAATAAAAAAAGCAAAGTGAAAGGTAAACCCATGGGTACCTTGTAGTAATGGGAGCAGATGTGCTCAAACTTTAATTACTAAAATATATATTTTTAGGAGAAAGTATAAAATTATTGAAAATATGCATTTGCTAATATTTTACACTTTGAAATTTGTTTATAGAAGTGACACAGAAAGCAAATGACTAGTTTTCATTTTCCAGCAAATGTAAAAACTAAGGTCTGTTTTTTTTTTGTTTCAATCATGTGCTTTTAGTGCCTCCAGATAAACCTGACACTATAACATGTGAAACAGCAAAGAGCTCATCCTTAATAAACTGCTCGTGGACGAGGGGGCAGGAAACGTACCTCCCTACTCTCTACAACATTTCTGTAAACAGGTATGGTGTTATGTTTTTGTTTTGTATTTTCTTGTTTATCCAAATCTCATGGTTTGATTTTTTTAATGTTTTATTTTTAGGGAAAATGGGAGTCAGATACGTCTATTTCAAATCCAGGATGCTGACAAAATCACCATACCACGAAGCATGTTTGATGAAAACACTACATACCTGATCATTATCACTGCTTCCAACCACTTTGGAACATCACAATCCGATCCAGTTGTCCTACGTGTGAAGGACATAGGTAAACCTGTGCTTCTGCAATACTTACACAGATCTTGAATTTGAATACTTGAATACTATTGAATGTTTTTTTTTTCACTTGTTAATTTCAGTCTTTCTTTTTTTTTTTATTAGAGTCATATGGTTTCTCGAGAAATGTGTCATCACCTGATGTATCATTTTTAGAAAGTTTTTTTTTTTATGGTCACAGTTTGACTAATTTGACCTTCTTATCAGCAAACTGTTTTTCTGTTTGTGTAATATTTATTTGAAGAGAAATTTACCTACGCCCTCGGATGAGCTCTGTCACTATTTCAGTAAACTTTAATTGCCCAGAATTTCTGTGCCATTACAGAATATGTAGCTGTTTCTGTCTCTATCATTTGTGAGCACTATATTTGGTTTCCTTTGTCTTGCAGTGATTCCCGATGCACCTATTATTATGCAGATACAGTTTCCGAGCAATTCCGTAGCAGCCACATTGCAATGGAAAAGCAATGAATCCTCAGTTTATCTCAGACCTCATGTCATGCTGCGCACAAACAACACTTCCTGGGTAAAGTTTTATTAACACTCCTCCAACGACACTGTGGGGGGTTTTTACAGCAAAAGCCTTTATCTGGCACCATGAAGTTGATCTAATCTCTCAATGTTTTTAGGAAATGAGAGCGGGCGTGGAACTCGGTAAGAATCTGATACGGGTAGATAATCTAACACATCTGACTGAGTATGAGTTCCAGATGAAAATATGCAACACAGCGCCTGTGCCGACACATACCAACGCAAGTAGTATTAGCGCCAGAAAAGCATTGCTTTGCAGCAAATGGAGCCCGTCTGTGAGGAAGAAAAGCCCTGGAAAAGGCAAGCTCACTGTTCTTGCTTATCATAAGACAGATGCAATGTAAATGTGATGATATAAGAATTTGTTGTTTCTAATTCATAGCCCACAACTTATTGTCTACCCTCCCCTCAGGTCCATCCCAGCAGTTGCAAGTTTGGAGGAAGGTGGAGAGGCAGGGGACAGACGGCCAGAGGAACGTGACTGTTTTGTGGAAGGTAATAAGTTATGGCCACTCATGAGCCCTGGCTTTTGTTGTTATGCTGACAATTATGAATCCCAAACATCCATCAAATACAAGAAATGTTTTTTATAATGCATCAGTTTGGTTATAACACAGAAAGCCTTCACTGCTGATTGGTTAAAAGGAATCATTTATCATTTTGTAA